TATATATATATATAATATAAAAATGTTGTACGATAGAGAGTAAAGCTCTGTTAAAAATGTTTATCCAACTGGAACGGAGTGTAACAGATATTATAATAAAAACAGAATCATATTGACATTATGACAATAAACAGGAAGCATAATTATCTCGGACTTATTTAGGTCCGTTCAACTCTGGATATTAGAATTAAAATAAAAAGGAAAATGCGATGTTTAAAATAACGTAAACAAAAATTAATGCTTTTGTATCGGTAAACTTCAGGCTTCATTTTTCATGCCCTCAAAGTTATGAAAACCGCGTAGAATAAAAAAACTCGTCCCTTATTTGGTTTTATCTATCGCTTCCAATCGTTCGATGGTAGGCGGATGTGAATGATTCCAAGAGGAATACAATTTATCATATAAAGGATATCCTAAATTATCCTTCTGTAATTTTAAAAGAGCTGCTTTTAAAGCCTCGCCGTGACCTAATTTTGTGGCAAAATGATCTGCTTGAAATTCATATCTTCGGCTGATTACCACGATAATAAAATTAAAGATCTGAAAATAATAAAAAGAATTTGCGTAAATAATTTTCTATTTATGTGCAATAAAAAATTTAATGGATACTTACTGTATTCAGTGGTATTAAAATATACATTGTTACAATAAATAGACCGATAATGATGGGCTGACTATCGACGAAGCCAAAAGCGCTATACATTGGTGTATATCGCAAGAGTTTGGCAAACATAATAAAATTGGCTAGAAGTATTATCTGAAAAAATATATATATTATTAAAAACAAAATATTATTAAATACAAAGACGAATCTAAAAGAATTTCTCAGGTTATGTATAACATATTTTATTTCTTAAAATATATCTTATTAAATTTTATTAAGTAATTCTTTAATAAATGCAGAATCAATTCTTACTTAGCAAATATATATAAATAACAATATAAATCAACTTTAAAGTTATACCTGACTTAACAGAAATCCTAGCAAAGCATGATTATGTTTCCAATGACCCAATTCATGTGCGAGTACCGCCAGTATTTCATTTGTTTCACAACCAATTTCTTTGTCGTCATCATTGCTGTCTTTTTTACAATAATCCTTGATGAGTGTATCAAAGAGAACTATTCTTTTGTATTTATAAAAACCATACAGATAGGCATTGCTGTGTGACGATCTTTTGGAGCCTTCAACTACAAACAGCTTGTACAAAGGAAATTTCAAGGAAGCTGCCAATTCTTCGATCTTTTGCTTTAATTCACCCTCAGGCAATGGTGTATATTTGTCAAATAATGGCGCAATTATTTCTGGATACAAAATTATCATGAATAACGATACTACCACAGTTAATAACCACAAGTACCAGAAGAAATAATCGCCACCATTTTGCACAACCCATATTATACCACATAAAAGAGGTAAAGTGATAATTTGAGTCACGAGGAATCTCTTAATTTCGTCCTTAATAAAAAACATAGCTGTCTGCAAATAAGTAGTAATAATAATTAACAAAGATCTTTTTCAATCTAATGTTCAATAATTAAATGCATAAATAAAGATATATAAAAATGTCTTTTTAAGTTGCATGTAGAGAATCTTACTTGTTTATTAAAGCCATGTTTCTGTTCCAAAACAAAAGTATCGTATATTTCTATCGGCAGATTGGATATGTGAGAAAATATGCCTATGATAAACATACATATTGCGCTTATCAGTATTTCATTCTTGTGGTCGAAATCATAATACTTTGCTATTTTAATGCTCCATTGCCAGAAATAGTAATAGGCATAAAATATCAGGATTAACTGTAAAAATACAAAATAATGCAAATCCATGAATAATATCTAAAAGATTTCTGTTTTAACCTTTTTGTCAATGCATAATTTATCTTTTTACTGCCATTTTTTACAAGGTTCCCACTAAAAATATAGAAAACGAGATAGTCTTGCAAAACTTCGAATGGTGGAATTTTTGAGGCAAAAAATGTGCACAAAAATACAAAAAAAAAATGTTTGTTTAAAATTCAATGAGCATCCAGGTATCCATATATTGATAGAAAAATTAATCAACAATATACGGAATTCGTAGACACGTTTCATGATACTCACAGTATTATAAATCTTAGAATATACATCCTGTACTGTACCAAAGGTATTTCTGTGCAATGCATATGCACGAGCCTTATCATATGTATCCTTACTCATTAAACCCTCAATCGATTTGGGTAAATCAACCAGACGTTGCAGCAATGCTCTCTGTAAATATACATATATCAGAAATATTGCCTGTAATTACATCAATTCATTCATTTACATTTCTAAAATAATCTCTTCTATATATAAAAATTAAAATAAAAATTGAAATAAATGTGACATAAATAAAATACAAATATGTAAACATGTGGAAGTTCAATCGACAAATAATATAAAATCTTGCTAATTTTAGAATTACACAGCTAAGTATTATTCTAAAACAGGGCACCTCTGATGCAACAAGTTGGAATAAATTCCGATCGGAATTATTCAATTATTCCCTAGATTTCTATTGTTTTCTAGGGAAAACGGAATAATTCCGATCGGAATTCATTCAGACATGTTTCACGATAGATACCGGGAGCTGAGATTTAATTGCACATTTCATGCCGGATCGGCATTTAGGCTACGCGCGGGTTGGTGAGTAAGGGGCAAGAACTAAACTGAAAATCGATCGAAATGTACAACTAAATCCTATTCTAAAAAGTGAAAAAAAAAAAAAGATTACAGGTTAGAAAGACAGATTTTACCTGGCGAAAATTTAAATAATAATGCCAAAAGTTCAATAGCCATATCATCCATAAAATTGTTTCAAGAATATGTTTCTCCCAAAAATCCACAAGTGCCTCCATTTTGTTAAAATATTAACAGGATGTTCTTGTTCTTCTTTAATTTCTCTGTATGGATTTCGACTCTGTTATGGTCACAGTACCGCACGTTACTTTAAGCTTGCGATTGCTTGCGACCCAGCATTAAACCTTCTCAGGGCAGTGTGTTGGACGAGTCACCTTTTGACGCATGCGCATTGCGCGTTCGGCTGCGGCATCAGTGCTGTATTAATGTCGAACTTACAAAAGTTCTGCAAGGCCCTATTTTGACGTAACTATAGAAATTATATCACTTTTTTGATAAATCAATAAGGATTATAAAGCGACAAAAATTTTGTGAAAAATCAAAAATATGAGCAAAAGAAGATTAAGAATAAGTTTATTTCCTTCTTAATATAAATAGTGATGGAATAAATTTCAATTTCGAGTAGATCATTTCTTCAATTGTAAGGAAACGATAATAATATATTTAAAGTATAAATTAATATTAGACTAAGTACATATAAAATAAAATTAGACAAGGTATAAAAGTTTAAACAAAA